GGGCGGTTGGAGGAAAATCAAATTCTACTGCTGAATAAGCAGACTCCGCTTACCTCGGCTATTTGTTTGAGCGTAGCGAACTTTGTTCGCTATTCACGTGATGCACCTAGCTCCTACGCCACAGGAGGAGCGGGCACTGAAAACCAATCAACCCAGGCCCTGCGCTTCCGAGGGAACTACTTCATGATAAATTGATCGGACGCCAAGTGTTACCATCAATTGGATTGCTGAACACCAATTCGATAATGTTCTAGCTTAAGATACAATAATGTAGTACTAAAGGAGCATCTTAAATATCCTATAGCCAAAATGTCACTAGGAACGACGGGTTGGGGCAAAAAAATTTCGATTGAATTAGGCTCAAGCCATTAATGGTTAATGTTTTTTTTTTTATTTTCGAATTAAATTGTTATGTGCCTGCGCGTCTACGATCGACTTTATGCATCACTTGGAGAGGGTGAAAAAAAAGTGACTACTGAAATCTGAGTGCTTCACGCAATTTGATGTCCGTATGACCATGCACAACTAGCTAATCTGTATTCCGTCGTGAGGAATGAGGATAAATCCCATCCTGCACTCGACTCTCTCAAAGGACTTCTACTATCTTTTTCCAATGTCTGTCTCTCAAGTCATCTTATTCTTACATCTTAGACCCGCGTGCTCCGAGTTCTTCCCTCTGCCAACGCATCCTGCACATTAGCATTCCTCCAACCTACAAATGCAGCGTCTCCAACTCCTCCTCCAAGTCTTCCGCCCTCCTCACCCCAGCCGCAGGCGCATGATCCATGCCACCAGCCGGTGCCCCGCACTGTGGACAAGCCGTCTGCTGCATCGGCATGCCACACTCGCCGACTGTGAATGGATGCCCGTTCTCGCAGTAATACCAATGTCCCGTCCCACGAAACTCCGTCGCCATGGCTGCCAGTACCGCACGTCGCTCCTCGGACGTAACAACACTAAAGAATGTTTCGGCACGCAGCATCCGCTCCACCGTGTCCACTTCGTCAGACAACCCGGCCGTGCTGCCCGGGTGTACAGCGCAGAGGGCGCGAGCGGTAGTGATGTGGATGAGGGCTTCTTCGCGTAGTTCATCCTGAGTGTTCGGCGAGGCGGCGAACGGTCGCTCGATGGCGTTGAGCTGCGCGTAGGCGATGAGGGCTTCGACCTGCTGCGCGGGGCTGTTGGTGGCGCCAGCGATGGCGAGCAGCTCGAGGCAGCGGGTACGACTAGCGGACAGATTGACAAGAGCTTTGGCGTGGAGATGTACCGGTAGCTTGTCACGCCAAATGCTGACGATGTCGGCAATGAGGACAAGATCGCAACGGAGGAGAAGGGCAGAGGCGAGGAGGTGCGCTCGGGTTTGGAGAACTTCCTGATCGAAGTCGAAGGAGCCTGTAATCTCGCGCCTGCGCCGAGCGTCTTGGCAGAAATCATGCACGCGCTTGAATGGCTGCTCTTCTTTCTTGACCTTCTTGACGTGCGCGTGTATACTCTTGCGGAGCTGGAAGACTTGAGTGTAGCGGCTTTGGATCATCAATGCTCCCGCTGTTTCCTGCAACAGTTTGAACTGTGCCGTTGGGCTTCCAGATAATTGGAGTTCGACCGGTGCTGTAGTGCCGATCGCCACTGTCTCGCTGGTGGCAGAGAGCTGGTCTTGTGCGGCTTGGAATTGTGATTGCAGTCCGCAGTAAATTTTATTGGACCACACGATGAATTTCTTGGTCGACTCGTCCAAGAGCGCACGACGGACAATGCGGCCGTACCTCGAGATGCTTCTGAATGGGCCACGGCACGTTGGGCAGACCTTGAGTTCATCATTAGAGAATGGTGGCGCTGGCTTGAGGCCAACTACTCTCCCGTCAGTTGTGGTGTCGTAATGCTTGGCCATGTCCATATGGCCATCCATGTTGGCCATGGTCATGATATGGCCACACGGAGGGAAGAGGCATGGATCATCGTCAAGGTCTACTTCCCGGTATGTGAGCATCATAATATAGTCGACCTGCATGTCTTTAATGTTGTTTGTAGCGCATACTTGGCAGAATTTTGCGTGTGGACATGTTTCTCCACACACCGAAGGGCCTGTAGAGATGTTAAGAATGGTTGGGTGGCATCATGGAGGTGTGTCATTGGGGGCAAGCGGCAGCAGGAAATATTGGATGGAGAGCAGCAGTGTACACAAAGAGATGTAGAGATGCTCAGAAAGGAGAGTACTCACACTGGTGTCCACAAGGCAGCGACTTCTCGCACCTTACTGAGCAGGGCAACCAGTCGCACGGTGCAGCGCAGGGAAGGCTACATTGACTGTGAGGGCAATTGGAAGCACAATGCTGTTCGGCACATGGAGCGCATGGCTCATGGCACTTCTTGCTGCATTTTGAGTGGCTGCAAAAGACCTCGCACGGAGCCTCGCAAAGAGGGCATGGCTTATCACCATGACACTTCGAACCACAGCTGTGACGGCAGGTGCTGTAGTCGCGGCCGCAGACTTGTTGGCAGATGCCGTGGTTTTCCTGGACGATTACGCCTTCCTCCCTAGTCTTGCAAGCGTTGCATCTGCTTCTGCAGGTGTGTCCGCATGCAAGGTTCTCGCTGCACCGAGCGGAGCATTTGTAGCTGTCTCCTCTGTAGTCGATGTGGCAGGGGAGTTCCACCTTGTGACCACAGCCAGGGATTGTTCGCAGAACCTTGACCATGCACGTCACCGTAGAGAGGTCTTGAGCCAGCCAGCAGGGTAGGTCTGTCGCAAAGTGTCCGCAAGAGAGCACCCTCGTTGAGTCAAACACATTGACTGTACACCTCTCCGGACAATGGACGCCACAAGTACGAGGGCAGGAATGATCACAGCCCTTGAACGGTCTGGGACAAGGTTCCAAGCAAACTACGGTATCGTGGAGCAGCTGGGAATGACACTTATTAATGCAGGAGTGCCCGCAGCGCAATCTCTGGTCGCATTTCAAGTTGCATCCTCCCTCCGGGGAGAATTGGGCGAAGTCGTCTGGCCTACTGGCCGTGATGGGTTTGTCCGGATGCCGAGGACACTCGAGCTCAAAGGCGGTACCGAGGCTGCCGTCCGTGCGGAGGATGTCCAGTACGTCTGCCCACATCTGCACGCTACCTGCAGTCTCTGCGTTCCCGATGATGAACATGCCGTGTTGTGCACGAGATAGGAGGACGTTGATACGATTGGAGGTCTTGAGGAAGCCGCATTTGTTCTTCTTGTTGGACCGGACCAAGGAAACGACGACAACCTTTGCCTCCTCGCCCTGAAAGTTGTCGATGGTGGCTACCTTCAGGGCTTTCAGCGCCGATGATTTGCTTACTTGCGGAGTTTCGTCTGCAGCAATGTTTGCTTTTTCGAGGTCCTCGAGATCTCGGTCATTGAGGACCAGCTCCCACATCTGTCCGAGCCGTGTCCGAAGTTTGTGGAGCTGGCCAAGGTATGGAGTAAGCACAGCAATATCATTCGCGTGGTAGACTCCTTGCTTAATAAGATGGGACACAACTCCAAGAGTCATTTCAATCTCGAAGTCGTTGGTATGGCTGGTCGATATAACACCCGGAGACTCATCTGAGCCGGCTTCGAGCTCGCGGTGGTCAAACCAGAATACCCGGTGCTTCATTCCGAAAACCATGGGATACTCCATAGTGGATGGCGCATCCCTGAGATTGGGGTAAATTGTGTCACGGACGAGTTGCGAAATGTCCGGGTGCATTCTGCGCTGAGTCTCAAGGGTGGTGTAGGGAAGCTGGATCGCGGCGTCGTGATTCGGTCGCACCAGCCTCTCGAATAGTGATGTGTCCAAGGAATACTGCTCGCCGCGAGGATGTTCTCGCCCTAGATCGTAGCGTTGGATCTGCGGGCGCAGCTGCTCGTGGTCGCCGATGAGGATGGCATGCTCAACAGAAGGAAGCATTGCGGTAAGTGTGTGTGATTCCAGGACCTCGCCAGCCTCTTCGCAGAGCACTACTTTTGCACGGATGCGACGGAGAAGATCAAGGTTGCGGGCAAGCCCGCTCGTGGTGATACCGATGATGTGGGCCTGCTGCAAGCACCGGAGATCCATCTCCATACGATTGCGCTGGTACTTCTTTCTCCGATCATTATACTCGCAAATAGCATGTATGAGATCACGCTGGGCACTTGCGCGAAGATGATGTACCCAGTAACGGTGCAATTTCTGCCTCTCCTTGTAAGACATTGCCATCAAGCCCGTCGATTCGAGCGTGGAGATTGAGCGTTCCTGTTGCCCGGGCACAAGCGGATGTCCTCCCTTGAGCCATCCCAGTAGAGCTTGCCTCGGCATTCTGCCTTCCAGTTCGTATCCCTCTTCATCCACGAAGCCAGTCCCAAACAATTCGTCATGCTGGCAGGGCTGATACTTCTGGAGATACTGCTTGATAGATTGCCATGAGTCCGCATTGCTGAGCGTATAGAGGAGATTGTCGATTTCCTTCTCATCTGCCCCCAGCTGTGTGCGAAGCTCCCAAGAAATATGCTTTTCGGCTTTGGTTCCCTCCATCTTCTTTGCGACTTCACGAAGTATAAGCGGTTGTAACACTTCCGACTTGCACCTGGAACCAACGCGGATGATTTGGGGTACTCCAGCATCCACCAGGTGCTCAAGAAGCTGGTCGAGGGCATGGTTGGTGTAGCAGACACAGATTATGGGACCAAGATTCGCAGCTTTGCGATTATCCAAAAGGACTTTGATCAAAGCGATGCCGGTGAAGCTTTTGCCGGTGCCCGGTGGTCCTTGGATGAGAGCAAAACTGCGCGTAAGGGAGTCCACGACAGCATGGGCCTGTGCATCATCCAACGACGAGTTTCGAATCAGATCTTTGACACCAAAGTGGCCTGTAGACGGAAGCAGAAGTTCCATACCCCCCCGTGTAATCTTGCGGAGGTCAAAGCGATAGCCAGGATTCCTGGCATAGGTTGGTGGAGGAACGCCAACGACACCCACTTCAGCTTGACCTGGGGCAAGGAATTCTGGAAAAGGGACATCGCCGCTTGTGGACATCTGCTGCAGTACCTTCAGGGTCGGCTGAAAGGCTGGAAGCAGCACCCCTGGGAATTCGACAAGCGAAATTTGGCCAGTGTCCCAGCAGCGCTGGAGAAGATCATCAAGGTGCTGGTCACTCTGCTCCACAAGACTGACAGTCAGGAAGGCCATGTTGCTGTTGCCATGCAGGCTTCGTTCTTCTTCCTCGTCATCCACACTGCTCTCAACTCCATCGGATGCGGTCTTTGATTTTGTCTGGTCGTTGACCACAGAGCAGAATAGAAGAAGCCCGGAGCTGTCCAGCAAGCAAACGAGGGCGTCTCCCTGCAGGCGGCGAGATTTGGACCACCACTCCGACCTCTGGTTTTTAGTCATTGTCCGGACAGGCTGCGGCTGAGGAAACGAGACTCGGCACCGGAAACCATCTCTACGATCGACCGAGAAGTCATCAATGCTGACTCCACTGTACGTGTAGGTTCGAAGACCCTGCCGAATGTCGCGACGGCCGCTGAAAGCACCGTCTGGATCCTGCATGCGGGCAACCTCAGCGTGAATGACATCCCGGAGCTGGCCGACGGTGTCTTCTCGGAGGAGGCGGAAATGGCGGTCAAGGAGGCCTTGAATGCCTTGTTTGTGCCAGGTGGCAGGGTCGCTCACAGGGAGATACTCTGGTCTCAAAGACTGAACCTCTTGCCATGTGGGCAGCACCCGGATTTTGGTGATATCTTCGTCGTCATTATCGTGACGGGGGCCATTCAATGACAAACCCCCGGGATAGTCAATTGGTATGCCAAAAAAGGCTTGGGTGACCGGTTGCTTTGCCTTGTCGGCCAGATCGGGCATGGCTTGTCCAATTCCAAGACGCTGCTGGATCTTGGCGAGAGAAGCCCATGCATTCTCGCATCCTGCCTTCCTGTGGTCCGATGCATGACGTTCCAGTAAGAGAGAAAAAATACCGACAAGCTTCGAGATATCTGGATGTATCTGAGCTCCGCTGTTGACGTCGACTACTTTTGAAAGGGCTAAGAGCACGAGCTGAAAGATTTCCGCAACCGAGGGCGATGCCGGCGGTAGGTCTCCTTTGGAAGCATCGGACAATACTTGAGCAATGAAGGAAAAGAGCTGTACAGCTCTGTGACCATTGAAGCCGTAGAGGAAGGTAAGTAGGTCGCCAAGCGGCTGCTCGAGTAGGATTGAAGAGAGTACGTCAGGGTGGGTGAGGATGCGAAAGAACGGAACGTGCTGGCTAAGGAACCTGCGAAGCTTCATGCTGTCCGTGAGCGATACTGTATCTTGCTCAGTCAACTCACGAACACGGGATAAGCCACCGGTGGATGCCATGCGCATGATTACGTCCTGCCGTATTCCCGGGTCCGAAACAACAAGCTCAGCACCTTTCTGGAAAAATTTGGATAGCTGAGGGCCAAGGGCGTCTGGATGGTGGCCATCTTTGGGGATCATGAATCTCCAGTTGCGGAACTCGGCTTCGGTGGTGGATATGCTGCGACTCTCATCTGTAGTAGGGCGACCCCCTTCGCTTGAAGCTGATGTCTGAACACCAACGTGAGAAAACCTGCACGAGGCACCGAAACGGCAACCTCCAGGCCGATTTTCGAATCTGCAGGGCTTCGCAGCAACCATTGTGAGAAATTAAAGTGTGAATTTATAGGTAGCGAAGGAAGGATGTCATAGAGGTTGACTATCGCATGAAAAAAAAAAAGGTTGAAGGGCCGGATTATTATTATCTACTTGGTGAGACAAGCAAGGGCTATTTACTATTACCGGGCCATGGATTGGCGTCACGTCACCCGCCACTTCAATTAGGGCAGGCAAAATCTGTCTGGTACAGCGTCGGATCAAGAAGTCTTACAAAGTTCTTGACCGATCAGTGGAAACAGACAATAGAGGACCGTAAACACTAGGTCGATTCACATAACGACTCTGAGGTGAGTGTTACTTATCCGTACCAACTGCTGACAGCACGTTATTGATATTCTGTAGACTATGGATACTCGAGATCTAGAGAACCGGTGTCGTAGGTGTGCAAACATCTCAA